TCCTAAGTCCCTCCCCCAATCAGGAATGAAGTGGTAATTATTAGACTAGGTCACCCCATTCTTCACATAACACAAAACATTCATTTTCTCATCTCCATGCTTCTCCAGAGACCCTATGGAGCTCAGAGAGTTTTCTCTATGTGCTTAACACTCTCCTAAGCAGAAATGCACCCCTAACGCCAGAGAAGCGGTCTGAAGACAAGTCATCAGGTTTCAATCCCATTTTTGCTATTGGTTTGGATGACCTTGGTACCATCTCTCAGGACCTGGGGCTCAGTAGCTCATCCAGGGACAGGGCAGGGACTTCACTGCCTACAGCTTTGCCAGGCTGCCTGAGAGTCATAGAAACACTGAGGGTGGAATCAGAGAGCAAAACACAACCAGAGTGCTCATTCCTTCCTGGTTTTCGTTTAGCATTTTGTTGAAATGAGAGTCCAGACTGAGAATTGCTAGATCAATTCTCAGCCTCCTAAGCCTGACAAGCAAGTTTAGGTTTCCACTTGGCTAGCAAGTAGGTGCAGGCTGGGTGAGGGGCCAAGCCCTCTTGGATGAGCATTCTCCACACTTACATGTACAGTCAGGAGGCCTCAAGGAATTACAGGCTGCAGTCCAGGTCAAGGTAAAGTGATTAATAATAACATTTGACATGGGTAGAACTCTTGCCTTAAACTGGTTAATGAAATGTGTTTCAGATCTGTTCTTAGGGAGCCCACTATTAGAATGAGAAGGTTGTGCCTGCATCTCACCACTTACTTAGCACAGTGCCTACCATGCAAACGGGCAAGCAGATGTTTTTAGAAAAGTGAGCAAGGGAGTGTCCACCTATCATTATTGTCTTAATTATCTGCCTTCCTCCACTAGAATGCAAGCTCCATGAGGACAAGGACTTGTCTTGTACCCAGCACAGAGACAGGCACTTTGGAAGAGCTTAGTAACTGTTTGTTGAGTGAGTGAGCACTTGATGTAACTGGATACATGCTGTGCTGGTTTATTAAGCTGTTGTGTCATAGCTCCAAACCTGCCCTTCTCTACACTCTGCTCTGTGATGCTGGTCTGGATCTCTGCAAAACACATTTCTGCTTTGCCAGTCACTGGCTCTCTTTGAGGCTCTGCCAACATGGAGAGCGTGAGGGAGGCTGCAAGACAGGAGGAGAGAGAAGGGACTTATTCTTTCCTGTCTGCTTCTGATGGGTGACATTTAATACTATAAAACCAATATACTATACTTCATGGTTAATGTAGAGCAATCTGGTTAATGTCCAGCATTAACTGTTGTTGTCACCTGTCAACCTTTCTCTTTAATTGTTGTTGTTGTTATTTGCCATCGAGTCGGCCCCGACTCATAGTGACCCCTCCTTGGGTTTCCGAGGCAGTATCACTACGGAAGTAGGATTGCCCAACCTTCCTTCCAAGAAGTGGCTGGTGGGTTTGAACCGCCAGCCTTCTGGTTAGCAGTCAAGTGCCTTAGGCACTATGCATTAGACACCAATCCCCAAGCTATGGCTGACTCCTGGCCTTCATTATAATTCTGCATAGTGGTAACAAAAGGCTGATGCCTGGCTGACCTGACTGACCACTGGTCAGGAGACACCCAGGTCTCCTCTTCACCCAGCTCAGGGACACTCACAGGGTTTGCTCTACAACTTACCTTACATTCTGAAATAACTCCTGTTCAACATTGCATCTTGGTGCCTTCTCCGTTCCCGCTATGTTGCTAGGCTGTGCAAATGATTGACATGCTTAGCTTCTAATTGAAACGTTAGTAGTTCCAGTCCACCCAGAGGTGCCACAGAAGAAAGGCCTGGAGATCTACTTCCAAAAAAATAAAAACCCTACAGAGCACAGTTCTACTCGGACACACATGGGTCGCCATGAGTCAAGAGTCAAGTCAACAACAAGTAGAAATTCCTGCTAGGCTAATTTACCCTTTCATCATGACAGTGTTTAAAATGTGAAGAGTCTGCAGGTTGTGTGTACACTGCTTCAAGACAAAAAGAGCAGAAACTCTCTGTAACTTCCATTAGACACTCCACGAAGGCAGGGGTTTACATCCCTATGCTGGCACTGCGAACATGCAATGTTGTTGTTGTTAGGTGCCACTGAGTCAGTTCTGACTCACAGCGACACTATGTACAACAGAACAAAACACTGCCCAGTCCTGTGTCACCCTCATGATCCCTGCTATACCTGAGCCCATCGTTGCAGCCATGTGTCAATGCATCTCGTTGAGGGCCTTCCCCTTTTTTGTTGACCCTCCACTTCACCAAACATGATATCCTTCTGCACAGAATGGTCCCTTCTGACAACATGACCAAAGTAGGTGAGACGAAGTCTGGCCATTCTTGCTTCCAAGAGGCATTCGGGCTGTACTTCTTCCAGGACAGATTTGTTAGTTCTTTTAGCAGTCCATGGAACTCTCAGTATTCTAAACCAACACCACAACTCAAAAGCATAAACTCTTCTTCGCTCTTCCTTATTCATTGTCCAGCTCTCACATGCATATGAGGCAATTGAAAATACCATGGCTTGGGATGTTGTTGTTGTTGTGTGCCATCGAGTCAGCCCTGACTCATAGCAACCCCTCCTTGGGTTTCCGAGGCAGTATCACTACGGAAGTAGGATTGCCCAACCTTCCTTCCGAGGAGGTGGCTGGTGGGTGTACCTTAGTCTTCAAGGAGACATCTTTTCTCTACAACACTTGAAAGAAGCCCTTTGCAGCAGATTTGCCCAATGCAATACATATTCTGATGTCATAAAGATCACAGAACATGCAACACATATTTGTTAAATGAACACATACGTGAACTATGAGTTGCTTGCTTTTATTTAGCATTCTAGAATAGTGCTGCTTATTTTTATATGCACCAGAGTTAATCTTCAATTCAATCATTCTTTTAAAAGGTTTTCTAATGCAGTCCAATTGCAACAGGAGTTGTAATTAGATAAGGGATATACCATCTAATTAGATGGAGGACAGGTGAGCCCCAGGACTAACAGAAAGCTTTCTTTTTACAAACTGTGGTGTCTTAAACAACTGATAATGTTCTTGTTATGTGCTGTCAAGTCAGACCCGACTCATAGCGACCCCTCCTTGGGTTCCTGAGGTGGTATCACCACGGAAGTAGATTGCCCAACCTTCCTTCCAAGGAGTGGCTGGTAGGTTTGAACTGCCAGCCTTCTGGTTAGCAGTCAAGTGCCTTAGGCACCACGCTACCAGAGCTTCTAAAGATTGAGAAGGTGGTGAGAAACGGTTGTTAGAAAGCAAAAACAAAGTATCATCCCACCAGAATTTAACTCCTGGCTTCACTAAGAGCTGTATGATCTTGGGCAAGTTTCTTTTTCTTGCTGGGCTATGCATAAAAATTTTGCTAATTCTCCCTCACTGAGCAGTTCCCAAGATTATGGCAGGTTTATATTGACTCTTAAAAGTTCTGAGCTCTTAAAAGAAATCTATGTGAATAAGTACAAGGTTTAATTGTTGAGCTTATGAAATCTATTTGAAGATAAATTGCCAATGACACAGCCTAGAAGGATTTATTTTATATATTTTAAAATAAGGCAGAAAATTTAAGATACAGCAGAGGCATGAACTAGCATGTGTACATGCATTTCAGTAGGTGTGGGCGTACATATTTTTGCTCCAGGCCTTCTGAAACATAAATATGTACATGAATCTTGGGGTGGGGGGGTGGAAAACTTGTGAAAATGCAGATTCTGATTCAGCAGGTCTGGGGCGACCCGAGAGTTTACAATTCTAACAAGTTCATGTGATGCTGATGCTACTGGTCTAGGACCACACTGTAAGTAGCCAAGGGAGTCACTACAACATTAAAAATGTAAAAATAAGAGAAAAAAAAAAAAAGTCAGTTGTGTCCTGGCCCTTACTGGTGTTTTTTGTTTTCCTGGAATTTTATTTTTCTATTATTAAATCAGGAGCTCTGCTAGCTCTGTGCCTAAGCATTTGCCTGCTAACCAGGAGGTCGGTGGTTCAAACCCACCAACAGCTCCATGGAAGGAAGATAGGGCAATCTACTTCTGTAGATTTAACACCTCAAAGACCCAGTACGGGTCTCTATGAGCCAGAATCAACTCGATGGCA